TCCCAGCCCCAGGATGAATCTCACGATTTTGTTCTGGGTGATTTGCAGTCTATCTTTCAGTTTTTTTGTCAAGGCAGAGTACCATGAAGAGCAAGCGTAATCCATATGGCATTGTATAAGGGCTAGACATAGGGTCCTGCGAGCCTCAGTAGGTAGACACTGTGCTTGTCTATACAAGAACTTCAGTCTGGCATTCGCTTTCTTTACTACACTGTTCCCTATCAATTCTCCTGACATGCATGGGTCAAAGGGGATTCCCAGATATTTTACTGATGAAACCAAAAATGATGGGCTCCCCATTACACTGAACATTATAAATTATTTACCTTCTCAGTTTATGTTTCGTGCCAAAGAGAATGGCTTCAGTTTTCCCTAGGTGTAATGATAGTTTGTTGTCTACTAACCATTTGCTGCAGGACTCCAGTTCCAGTGTTAAACATTAGCAATATCTTGTGGGTCTTTACCTGTCACTAACAGAGCACTGTCATCTGCGTACAGTAGGAGTTTGCACTTGACACTGATAGGCATATCATTGACATAACATAAGAATAATAAGGGACCCAGAATACTACCTTGGGGAACTCCACATGTTATCGGCAGGGGTTCTGATTCCGTTTTGTTGATTTTGACTATTTGTCTCCTGTTGCTAAGGTAGGACTTAAACCAGTCTACAGAACCTATACCGATAGCTTGAAGTTTCTTACATAATATATTGTGGTTGACAGTATCGAAGGCCTTTTGCAGGTCTAAGGTTACCATACCTATGAGGTTCCCTTTTGACATTTCAGTTCTCAGGTAATCCATCAGATTAATAAGGGAGGTGTCGGTTGAGTAGGATCTTCTAAAGCCCGATTGATAGCTATGGAGAATGCTGTTGTCATTAAGGTACTTAACTACTTGAGAATACACCCCCCTCTCCAGAATTTTAGATATTATACTGAGTATACTAACAGGCCTATAGTTGCTTACATCAGATCTATTATTTTTCTTGAAGATAGGAGTAACTCTGGCCTCCTTGAACCCCTCCGGAAAGGTATTAGTGGTGATTGATAGATTTATTATGTGAGCAATAGGGATTGACAGTTCAGAAGCACCATCTTTTAGGAACTTAGACGGGATGTTATCAGGGCCTGTGCTCTTAGTTGGGTTTAACTGCTTAGTTCTTTTGAATGAAGTCATGAGATACACTTACTAGTTGACAACTTTTTTGGGGTTACCCCTTTATTGGTTTTAGTATGTTTGAAACTTATCAGAGTCTGTGTTAAAGGTATTTGATGCAGCTGGTAGTTTACTTACTAGTGTTGATGCAACAGATGTGTAGTAGGAATTAAAGCAATTTGCCACCTTAGATGTTTCGTGGCATACCTCATTATCGATAGTGAGTACTATGTTAGACCTATCTACTGGCTTATGGCTATACCCCAACTGTTTTAGTTGTTGCCAGAGCTTTCTGGGTTATGTTTATACTCTTCAATTTTTGAGCAATAGTGCTTTGCCTTTGCTCCTTTTATAAGTCTCTGTACTCTGTTCCTCACTCTTTGGAATTCATTTAGTGCTGCAATATCCTGTCTGTTTGCTTTAAATCTTTAGCAGCTGGTCTCTGAATTTCATATTATTAATATCTCAGTAGTCATCCAGGGTTCAGTTCTTCGTTTAATCCTAACCTCTTTAATGGTGCAATATTATCAAGAATGGTAGGGGAACATTGTTTTGAATTTTCCCAGGCATCGTTTACGTCCGTGCAACTTGTTATCTCTGTCCAGTCACAATTGTTTTAGCCTATTTACCGGTGTTTCTTTACTGTAGTTTCTAGTTGACCTCATTTTTATTGTCCTGTGTAGGCCTATCCTATCCTAGTGATTTTCCTAGTGCAGTAAATGATGAAATGATCACTAGACCTGTGGTAATGACTGCCTGATGACTAAAGTTCTCAGCGCGGTTACAAAGTATGTGGTCAATTAGGGTGGCTGAGAACTGTGTCATCCGGGTTGGTGTATTAATTAGTTGGGTGTAGCTATTTAATCCTAGAATTTGCTTATACCTTTTGCATTTGCCGTTATTTTGCTGCTGGAAACAGATATTGAAGTCGCCCAGAATTATTGTCTCGCGTTATACTGTAGTTAGGAGGACACTTGATGTTAGACTGTCCCAGTAATATTTCAGTTTATGTAAATGCTTTACCTGAAAGAAAAAAAAACTGTATGAATATATTTACATATGTCAAAACATTAGGTTAAATGAATAATAAATATAACTGTAAATCTCTTCAGGATGACTTGGATAAATTGAGTAAATGGATAATGGAATTTAATGGAGAAAAATGCCATGTAATGGAAATGGCATAGAATGAGGCCCCATGAAGACTGATAAAAGATTGAAGGTGTCAGATAAAGGGACCTGGGAGATCTTATTTAAAAAAAAATGATGTCACGGGTAGATCATATTAAAAGAAATTGTAAGACATGCTGCACTAGCCAGTTATAAAATGGCCAGTTAGAAAAAGGTCCAAACAAGAGCTTCAAAAACGGCAGCCAGAGTTAAAAGTATGAGTTATGATGAAGAGTTGATAGGTCATAAAAGGTCTTGCAAGATCAGATAACTTGCAACAAGGACAAGAAGCCACAGTTGTCAAGTGAGAAAAAAGTGGAGTTGCTGGGATTTTTTTATATTATAAACACAATAGCCGACCAGTGGAATAAATTACAAAAGGATACAGTAAATGATTCGCTACTGGAAATTAAAAACAATATATGATTTAACATTTCAAACGTGCTTCTCGTGTCTCTTCTTCCTATTTCTATGAAGATGTGTGTAAGTACATGAACGCGCTAGGGTTTTATTTCCTATTTTCACTATGGTGTTTTTTCATACTGCATTATAAAGATCATGCTTGAGACTTACATTATTCCGTAATTTCTCTAATACTGAAGTAGATATGAGTGATTCTGGTTGGTAATAGTGAGCAGGAATTACATGATTGGCTACTTGCAATGTATTTTACAAACGTTCAAACATTAAAATAACCCGGATGTTGCCCATATTTTATTTACCATTGTTGGATTTGGCTGAAATTTGTTTTTAGAATAATCATTAAATCAGGTTCCAAATATCCCCCTCTCTATTCAAAAGTGTAAGTTTGCTTAACATAAAATTTCCACACTACTGTGCACGGGGCCAGGAGCTGTGAATCGACCCCTACAACCACAACTAGATGAGTACAGTATGTTTACAGGACACTCAGTACTAATTTCTCCAGGTCAGCAGTTTCGTCTGCCTTGAAGGGGGTTGTTAGTGTACAGCAGCATTCCAGCCTAGAGAGAGTGAGCAAGCGATTTGAAGAGAATCATCATGGGCTTGGCATCCTAGTTTTGAAGGTTCTCATTATCCATCCTAACATTTTTCTAGAAGATGAGGTATATACACAATTGTTGTGGTCTTTGAAGGTGAGATCCTCTGACATTATCACTCCCAGGTCTTCACGTTAGTTTTTCGCTCAATTGTTTGGTTAGAATTTGTTTTATACCTTGATACAGTTTTAATTTCCTAAAGTTTTCCATAATTGACTAATCGAAATTTCTCTTCAATGAACTTCATATTGTTTTCTGTGGCCCATTTAAAGATTTGGTTGATGTCTGTTTATAGTCTTGCAGTGTCTTCAACAGAGGATACTATCATGGGAATTCGGATGTCGTCCGCAGAGGAAGATACGGGCCTATGGTCTACATCTCTGTCTATTTCAGATAAGAGGATGAGGAACAGAATGGGAGCGAGTACTGTGCCTTGTGAAACAGCTTTTCACTGTAGCTGCTTCAGATTTACTCTGTTTACTATTACTCTTTGTGTTCTACTTGTTAGGAAGTTATAGATCCAATTACCAACTTTTCCTGTTATTCCTTTATCATGCATTTTGTGCACTATTACACCGTGGTCACACTTGTCGAAGGCTTTCGCAAAGTCTGCGTATAGTACAACTGCATTTTGTTTATCTCTAAAGCATCCAGGACCTTATCATAGAGGTCTAGTAGCTGGGACAGGCAGGAGTGTAGCATGCAAAGAGTCTGTTACAATTTATTCGGCGTATATCACACCCCTATATAGGCTGCCTCCCAACCAGCAAAGCAGGTGCTAAGGCTTTAACGATCAATAGGGTATCCATCGTTAAATCAGTACCTTCGTTCATTGGCCAATCACAGGCAAGCCTACCAAAGCTGAAGCAACGTGGCTCACTTGTGGTAAGCATTGGCAGACTTGCCAAGCTGCTGGTTGAGCACGGTGCACTCTCTGTGGCTTCTGCTTTGCCATCTGTCACTGTGGTGTACACTTACTGTTCCATCTGTACATATTGTACATAGTGTACATACTTGTATATATCATCTGGTGAAGGAAAATATACTTTATAGTCTACTGTTGAGATTTATTTGCTCCACATTCCCATTACAACCAGGTCTCACAGGCCATTATTTACCTGTGTTCGTAATAAGGAGCGACTCGTGTTGCCCTGGGTTGTGTAACTGATGAGTATCAAGGTGGTTGGCGATCTTGCTTCTTAGAACCATTTCAGAGATTTTTATTTTCAACAGCTAGGCTACTCTTACTACCTAACAAGGTTTAGAGCTTTTTTTGATTAATAATTACTACCTAACATTTTAATCATCTAACTTCTAACTACAATGAATTACTCCTGACGTATTGTATTGTCATTCAATGCCTAAATGTATATTCTAGCACTAGAATTAAGTAGTTGGTAAGGTTTAATATTAATATTACCGAAATGCTTGGCATAGTGCCTTTCTTTTCTATGTACAATTTGAAATTGTATATATTCATAAATCATATATGTATTAACACTGTAACCAGGCAAAGCCTGGTCATGGATCGAGCCTCGGGGGCGTTGACCCCCAGAACACCCTCCAGGTATACAGGAACTGCAAACCCATTCATTTTAACTTCCATGTATGTTTCATAAGAGATAGATTTTTCATTTCCATTCTCTTTTTCAGGTACCAACTGCTAGGCAGTGACGTGTATCTATCATAAGAAGCAAGGTAAGCAGCTTTACTCTGTTAAAAAAATCTTCCTTTCAAATTTCAAATATATATTTGAAATATTACTGAAACGTACATTGTAGTCTGCATTTTTTGTTGATGCTTCTGTGAATTTAATCCTGGTGTAAAAGGAGTTCAGAATTTTGTAGTTATATACCTGAATTTGACACTCGAAAAATCTTTCCCTGGACTTCCAGTATCGCGTTTTTTTCCTCTTGCAAGGTAAAATTATATGATTACCGGACGTAAACTGGAAAATATTAAGTTATATTAGTCTAGTTTTATATCCATGTAAGTAGGATTCAGATAGGTAATAGTTTCGTTACTTATTTCTATGTTTACAGTCAATTGGGTGAGTGTAAGTGTACATTGGGGTGAATCACAGATATCGAGGGGGGGTCTAGGTTATTTTTTGTGTGTGTGTGATACAAGAGAATTGTGGTTTTCATGTAGCTAGCTGATGGTGGGGTGTCAGGGACATAAGATGTTTTCTAACCGTAGTTTTGAAAGTGATGGTTATGTCTGCAGTTCTAGAGTTTTCAGGTAGGGTGTTCCAGATTTTAGGTCCTTTTATGTACACTGAATTTTTGTGTAGGTTTAGCCGGACACGGGGAATGTCATAGTGTTTTAGTTCAGGGTTAATATTGGAATTTATGGTTTTGTAAATGTATGTCGAACAGTAGTAAGTGTGGATGTTCTGTACAGTAAGTTCAGATCTTTGAAAAGTGGGGAGGGGGGGATGGGTTGCCTAGTATTGGATTGCATGATAATTCTTACTGCAGTTTTCTGTTGGGTTATTATTGGCTTTAGGTGGGTTGCTGCTGTTGATCCCCAGACACAAACAGCATAGGTGAGGTAGGGATAGATGAGTGAATAGTATAGTGCGAGAAGGGCTGATTGTGGCACGCAGTAACGTATCTTGGAGAGGATCCCAACCGTTTGAGATGCTTTTTTTTTTTTTTTGTTATATGTTGGATATGGGTGCTGATTTTCAGGTTGCTGTCGAGGTGTAGACCCAGGGAAGTGTCCTCATTATGTTTAGCAATAAGAGTGTTGTTGATCTTGATGTTAAGTTGTGCATCACCTGCTCTGTTACCAAACATAATATAGGTTTTGTCAGTGTTAAGTGTGAGTTTATTGGTTGTCATCCAAGTAGATATTTTTTTAGTAGCTCCTCGTTAACAATGGTGTTGAGTGAGGCAAGATTTGGGTGGGAGATGACGTAAGTCGTGTCGTCAGCAAAGAGAATGGGTTTCAGGTGTTGTGATACTTTGGAAAGATCATTGATGTATAAGAGGAAGAGCTGGGGACCAAGAACACTTTCCTGTGGCACTCCAGTATCAAGTGGTCGTGTTGATGAAGCTGTGTCTTTAATGGTGACGTACTGATACCTATTAGTAAGGTAGGATTTGAAATATGCAAGTGTGTGGCCTCTTATGCCATAATGGTCAAGTTTGTGGAGTAGGATGCCGTGGTTTACTGTGTCAAAAGCTTTTCTTAGGTCAGTAAAAAGTCCTAATGAATGTTCCTTATTTGCCAGTGCTGTGTAAAGCAGATCTAGGATTTTTACAATTGCATCGTTTGTGCTTTTATTTTTTTCTGCTGTTATAAACGAACATAATCTCTTGTGCACGAATTCCTCGAAGATTTTGGATAGCAATAGTAAGTTTGATATTGGCCTATAGTTGTTTACATCTGTGGGGTCACCACCTTTATGTATTGGTGTAACCCTTTCTGTCTTGAGTAGTGTCGGGAGTGATAGTTTCTAGTGACTTGTTAAAAAGTAATAAAATAGCATGCGAAAGGACATGGACAGGCAACACTACACAAACACACAATATGTGGAAAATAATTTCCCAAAATTATGCTGTATATATTTTTATAATGTAAATATACCTGATTAATACATTACTATTGCTGTAAAGTGTATTTTAAAGAAGTGAACCGACGGGGAAGCTCTGTGCCTGCGCTGACGAGCAGGGTGGGAGACGCCATTGTTTTTGCATGTGGTACAGGCACGCTAATGAAATGAGCATAAATTTTCGTCGCTCTAGGGGCTATATTGGGCTTAAAACCTCTCAAATAGGAGCCGAAATTGTTGGATTTACAGTCCTGCATAACGTGAGCATTAAGCAGATGGACAGGACAGCTCCAGGAACCCCAGCTAAGTTGTCTGTTTATGTTGAGATTCTGGCCAGTATTTTCTTCATATTTAGACAGGGGGGTATGACACACCATGATCTCCAGACTAATTGGTGAGTCTTATTATTATATATTATCATTCTGTTACCTAAATGTGCATATGTAATCAACGGGCAAACTATTGTGGAAAATTAAATTTACCTGGATGTAACTCATAAGATACATACCAGTAAATGGTAACAAAGATAATTATTCTTTATCAAGGTTACAGAGACAAGTAGGAATTTTAGGACACCTAGGTCGCAAAAATGTCCCCCTTCGATACCTACCATAATGTCTCCCCTCCACAAGTCATTCTGGACCTATATTAATTTCAAATGAAGTATACATCACCAGGAATTCTGGTAAAACATTAATACAAATATGTGGACTGTGTTTAAAATTAATAAATGATTACATATACACATTTAGATAACAGAAGGAGAATTTATAATCATAAGACTCACCAATTAGTCTGGAGATTACGGTGTGTCATACCCCCTGTCTAAATATGAAGTAAATACTGGCCAGAATCTCAACATAAATAGACAACATAGCTGGGGTTCCTGGAGCTGTCCTGTCCATCTGGTTAATTCTCACGTTATGCAGGACTGCAATCCAACAATTTCGGCTCCTATTTGAGAGGTTTTAAGCCCAATATAGCCCCTAGAGCGACAAAAATTTATGCTCATTTCATTAGCGTGCCTGTACCACATGCAAAAACAATGGCGTCTCCCACCCTGCTCGTCAGCGCAGGCACAGAGCTTAGCCGTCGGTTCACTTCTTTAAAATACACTTTAGAGCAATAGTAATGTATTAATCAGGTATATTTACATTATAAAAATATATACAGCATAATTTTGGGAAATTATTTTCACACAATACTTAGCCAGGTTATCATATTCGCAAGTTTGTAGTCACAAAGATTCTTGGAATTTTTACACTCCATAATTATCTTCGTTTAGAACATGTGTTCCAGAGGTTGCTTCTCAGTCACTGAAATGAAAATGCGTATATATACATTTTTTCAAGTAAACCGTAGCTTATAGTTGCTAGAATAAGTAAGTAAGTAAGTAAGTAAGTTTATTCAGGTATACACAAATACAGTTACATAGAATTATCATACATAGCAGCATATGTGTAGAGAACCTGGGATAACCCAAAAAAGTCAGACAGAGTGACTTATTTCCATTGTGGTCCTTTTACCTTATTATTATAATATAAAGGTTATAATATTTTCTTATTATTCTATAATGAAGATAACATCTTATTATCATACTAAAAAGACTATCTACTACACGAGGGTCATTAAGACTATCTACAATACGAGGGTCATTACTAGGAATAAGGTAAAATTTACACGTATTTTAGCTAAAAAATAGAAAATCATTCCCCTCCCTTTCTGTAGCTACATTCATCAGACACCTTTTGGCACTCTTCTTGAACTGGTTCATGCTATGGCTGGCTTTGACATGTGCGGGTAGTCTGTTCCATTCCTTTATTGCTGTACAATAAAAGGTGTTTGGAACAGACTACCCGCACATGTCAAAGCCAGTCATTTGAATTTGGAGATGAAACTACAGCAGTAACTTTGAGTTTTCTAAAGCTGAATGACTTGGCAAAAGCTTAAGAGTGAATTAGCTAGCCTCTGTGAATTAAATTTCATGACTGCATCTGTACAACAACTTCTCCGCCAGCAAACGCATCAAAAATTTAATCCACAAATTCTCAAGTGTTAGATTGCAAAGCTTAGCACTTTTATCAGTTATGAAGGAATTATTGCAAAGCAGTTAAAGAAAGTAGGAACTGTGAGTCATTGATCTTTTACTGGAAGGCAAGAATGTCACTGAACATTGTATCAGTAACAGCAAATTCTGATTAATGTTTATATTTCGACTCTATATAAAAAAAAAAACTTGGAAGTGTCGTATGATTACCTCTGTGTCCTAGACGCTGTTGCTTCTAGGTAAACAGAAGAGATGTTAGTAAACTTGTCCAGGGATGAACCTCCTGGATCCTGCAGATGTAAGCCCGAGATGCTGCCTCTTGGATCTCCCGGTACCAGATGATGCTATAATAATATTATTATCATTGGAAAAAATTGTATTACAATAACTATAAAAAATAATTATAATGTAAAATATACATATATCAAAAGAAAATTTTTTAGTGTTGTAATGTTTTCCCCACAAGAAATGTGAAAATATTATAAGAAGACCCGAAAGGTACCATTTTATCTTAGTACAGTGACCTTTTGCAGATTAAAATCGTGTGTGACGTAGCTGGGATAGGTCAGGTGACTAAGACCTGTGTCAGGTCACACTGTTGTTGTTAACCAATGAACCACTGCTGCTGAAAGTGTTAAGAACAAGCAGGACTCTCCGGGAGTCTAATGGATATAATCAGAATTTTGAGGGGTAAGCCAGTGGAAGGCCTCGGTCAGATGACCAAAAGCTCCAGCTGTGACTTAACCTAACAACCTTACCTAATTCTCCAGGGAAAAAGAATGCTGTGAACACCTCCCGACACAAAATTGGGCTTTGGTTCAAAAAATTCTTTGTTTCATTTTGCTTCGTTTGCAGGTTAATTTTGCCTTGAAAATTATTTTTTTGACCTTAGTAAATGACGAATTGTAAGGACACATCTTCCAGCATCCAATTATAACTCAGTTTTAACAGATAAACAGAGAAGTGTGTATGTACTCAGGCTTTAATCTCTATTTTTGAGAATAAAATCTAAACTGGTGGTGAACCAGTTACATTGAGCCGCAATGCTCCTTTATATTAGTCAGTTAACCAACAAATAACAGTAATAAACGC